CACACACGCAGGCCTGGGGCACCCCCCTCCTCCACACGCAGGCCTGGGGCACGTCTCCCCCTCAACACACACGCGGGCCTGGGGCATGCCCTCCACACACATGCAGGGCTGGGGCACACCCCCCCCCACACACAGGCCTGGAGCACGCTCACACACGCGCACACACACACGCAGGCCTGGAGCACGCGCGCACACATACGCAGGCCTGTGGCATGCCCCACCCCCACACACGCAGACCTGGGGCACGCCCTCCCCCCCACATACACACACGCAGGCCTGGGGCACACGTGCACACACACGCGTAGGCCTGGGGCACGCGCGCGCGCACACGCACACACACGCACGCACACATCGGGCCCCGCCCCCGGAAGCACATGAGAGGCACTTGCTTTCACTGACTGAGGGCAGGGCTTGGGGCCCGCAGCAAGGCAGCAGCTTGAGGAATCGCTGCTTCAGCGCTTTTTTAGTGGGCCCTGGAGGGTGGCCTGGGAAGAGAGAAGACCCCGGGAAGGCGCATTAACTCCCATTGTCCCTCTGTTCCCTGTCCCCTCCCCACCAGTCACAAATCAACCCCATCTGGGGATGGGGCTGGGGGAGGAATTAAGGGGGAGGAAAGGAATGGCAAGGGTGGTTGGAATTGGGTTAGGGGAGCCCAGTGGGTCCATAGAGGTGAGGCTTAGGCACTTTGTTTAATGGGACGTGGCGGATGACAGCAAGGCAGCAAGGATGAGGTGGCAGTGGCCTCAGTGTCTTTGCTGACCTAGTACCCTTGGCTCAAGTGCCATGGCTGGACCTCCAGGATGATGTCCAACTCAAGGATTGCCTGGGTAAGAACACCTCTCTCATACACATACCTATAGTGACAGGCGTGTATAGTGACAGGTAGAGCAATACATCACAGTCATGGGTGCCAGTGACAGCTTGAAATCCAGTAACTCACACCTGATGGTCTAATATGTATGCTCCAACACACACACAAACACACACACACACACACACAATGAACTGCTACTCCTTAACAAGCAAATACAAATGTGACCTAAGTAAAACAGGGTGCACACACATGGAGACCCATACAGGCCATCTCACATACAGCATGATCAAACCACACAAGAACACACAATGCCTCTGGGACATCATGACACGTGAGTCTACAAAGAACACTATGACATTGTGACCTTATAACATTATGATACATATCAAGGTTGTCATGACACTTACCCATATCACACTGTGCCCTGGGTCCCCATGGCATCCAGATATCTAAGGCTTACCTCAATACCTCACCCACAGAGGCTTCATTTTTCCTGGGTACACCCACTTTTCTTTCCTATAACCCCTCCTCATTCCAAGGCGCCCAGAATCTTTCTGCCAAAGGGCAGGGTTCCTCATCAGCTAACTCATCTACCCTAAACTGCGGCCCCTTCACAGTCTTTTCCAGTATGCTTGCTCTTTGAGGGTGAAATAATAGTAAACTTTGAGGCAATAAGAGATCTTGGAGGGGAGTATTCTGGTCTATTGTGGGGCTATCCAGGGCCCACTGATCATGGCTCCCCTTCCCTTCTTCTCCCTTTATTTCTGCACATTTTCTACAGCTCTAATTGCACCCCCAGAGGACCCTCAGTGTTACTGTGTGTGTGTGTGTGTGTCTGTGTGTCTCCCAGCTGCACTGCATCCAGATTCCTAGGTCAGAGCCCACTGGATCTGACACAGTGGCTAAAGTTGGCCTCAGTCCATCCTGGAGGGGTCCAACTTCCTTTAAAGGTTACTCCCTCTCCATATACCCCACCCTCCCAATCCAGGCTTCACCCTCCAGACCAGGCCCCCTTACCAGGAGGTAGCTGGGTGAGTAACCACCTCCTCTACTTCAACACATCCTTACCTCCCTCCCACCCCAGAAGCCATGGAGAGGTGGGAGGGAGGTGGTGGGCCAGGCAGGGGGATCGATGGTGGCCTGGCCTCCGGCCCAGGGCTCCATTAGCCTGGACTCTGGTTTCCCGAAGCCGGATTGCGCCTGGAGCCTCCAATGGTGTAGTCGCCCAACTCGGGGTGGCTCTCCTGCCCCCCACCCCAGCCCCCTATCTGTTTCCAAGCCTCTGTCTCCTCTAAAGGTGAGAAGAGAATGGCTGCCTTCAGCCCAAAGCGCCTGGGATTCCCAGATGACCCCTCTTTCCCCTTTCCCATCTAAAATGAATGGCAAGTTAGAACTCAATCAATTTCACCTTTTCCAGATTGAATGAGAACAAGCTCAGCCCAGCTGTCCCAGTTCATCTAGGTCCAGCTCCCTGTTCCCCACTCCACCCTAATAAATGCAGCAGAGGATGGAGGGTGAGCTAAGAGTTTTCTGCTCTTACTGAACCCTAGAGCAGGCAATTCATGCACCTTCTCTTGTTCCCAGCTTCCTTCATATTTTTCCAGTTCTTCCAGGTATCTACCCTGCAGTCCTCCGTCATGGTTCTAGTCTGTCTTCCTGTCCCTGGTGGCACTGGGGAACAGCCACGCTATGGAGTTACACAGTTCTAGCTGTGAAGAGGAGGGGGAGGTCAAAACTCCCAAGGGGGAGGCAGAAGTGCTCTCCTCTCCACCCCAATATTACTCTCCCTACTGACTTTCAGGTGGGGTGGGGAGGGGAGTTGATTTTCCACTCCCAATGTCTAGGCCCTGGAGACCATTCTGTACTTGGATCCTGATAGGAGCCTGGAGAGGCAAGGGGGCTTGGGAAGTAGGGTCCCTGATCTGATCCACTCCTCATCCCCAATCAGAGTTGGGCTATAAATGTCTCCTTCACAATGTTCACACTCTTCCCTCCAGAACCCACCTCCTCCCAAGCCTTGGGTATGGAGCTGGTATATCCTCAGGAAACTCTGGAAACAGCCATATGCACAACCTGATACCCAAACAGGCTCAGCCACACACTGTGCCACTCAGGCCTGGCCACATCCACCTTCTCACAAAGCCACATGCCCTGTCACTCCCACACATACAGTCACATCCCTGTTCCATACACAGGCTCACAGTTACACACTTTGTACTCTCTCACATACAGGAACACAAAGTCACACCCTGTGTCTCTCACACACTGAGCCCACAC